TTTCTTTTCTGAAAAGTACTTGTATGTTGATGCACTGAATGCTCTACCAGCTAGTTACCAACACCCTTGGAAATTTGACTATCCTCTATCCCTATCAGCATAGTAGTTTGCAGTGTCATATCGCGGTCTCCTATTTTTTCGTTTTAAATATAGACTCTTGTTTCTCTTAAGTTAAACTAAAAAGTGAAAAGAAATTATAAATGGAAATATTATCTATCAAGACACTGCACATTGACAATCAATAAAAAGGAATAGAAACAAGTATTAAACTATCACACACATATATATGGAATCTACAAAGTTCTTAGCCTTAATTGGTCCTATTTATATTTCGGAAGAGTCTTAATATTACATGCACCGTCTTACATGCCTCAGGAAGAAGATGAAGGGGAAGTGTGTTGGCGCGAGTTTTCACCCTGAGTAAAGCTCATTACGAAGCAAAGTTCAAAAACACTTGAGATTTGAGAAGCATTAAAAAGATTAAAAATGTATTTTGTATATGTATGTTAAACTATTAGGATCAGAATAAAGCAAGCAAATTTAATTTGAAAGATCAAGTTTTCCTATCATTTCCTTAAGAAGTGATTTCACTTCTATATTTCACTTTAAAGAACATTAACATACTGTTTTTACTTGTCTTCATCCTTGTGAGTATAGATAGCCTCTCATTAGTCTAATTGTCTAAAATAAGAAATACGTAATAATTGATAATATTATAATCTTAAGTGGTTTTACCATTCATATCCTGAACTTCAAAGACAAAGGGATTTTTTGTAATCTTTTACAGTAGCATGGAAGAATTCTTTTTGTAATTTTTGACAGGAGACATATTAGATGGCAAGGGTAAAAGCAGTGTTCTAAAAGGCTCAGAAAAGCACCGCCTAGGCGCGCCTAAGCTTGATGCGTCAACCAAACGCCTCGCCTGCCCAATAGGCGTGCATAAAGGCGCCTTCTTTGCATAGGCGTGGATTTGAATCGCCTTGCAACACGCTGCTGTTAGAGTTGCATGGAATGTCTATTATATAATGAATTTGGAAGGAGGAAGTATCAATTTGTCCGGTGTGGGATAATGAATTCGAAGTACTCCGCGGTCTGCATACAAGGTTGCACCTTTCCATTGCCAACTCCGCATTGCTAACTCGTCCGGTGTGGGATACAAGTGCAAATGACTTTTTTAAACTAATATCCTAATTCAAAGCAATCTTCTTTATTTGTAATTATTATTATAACTATCCTTACTGAGTACAAGTATTTTTTTCATCAACCAACTCTTTTTAATTATTACGGATTATTAACTATTTTTTTCATCAACCTATTATTTGTGCTTTTGAAAATTTTATTTCTATTAAAATATAAAAAGGGTTTTTTTCTAAAATATTATTAGTAAAAAAAAAATTCATGGAAAAAATATAACTTTGTAACTATTAATTACTATAAATGTATTCAAAATTACATCGCAATGACTACATGTGTGATCATTGCTGTGTAACTTTCAACACTATTATAATACATAATACTCGGTAGTTATTAAGTCATATTTTTGTCCTCGGTTTTTTGTAAGTAATATTAGTGGAACTTTTTCATATAAAAAATGTAATCTTTGTATGTGATATTATGTAATATTACCATATACATATGAAATGATAGTAAAAAAATTAAAATAATAGTAAAAAACTAAAACGCCTTTTCACGCCTAGGCCTCGCTTAAACCCGCCTAGGCTTCAAAGGCTTTGGGCTTGATCGTGCCGCCTCGCCACGCCTTACGCTTTTTAGAACATTGGGTAAAAGGCTTACCTTGAGAACTCAGGCAAGGAGTAAAAGAGAAGCTCTGCCAATAGGGGTGGCAACGGATCGGATTTAGACCGGGTGGAAGCTCATCCCCGTCCACCTGTTAATTTTTCATAATCCATCCACCCGTCCATCATCCATTAAATATTACATCCACATCCAATCCATCCATCATAAACGGGTTGTCGGTGGATCAGGTGAGTAACGGGTGAATATAACTTATTTAACTTGAAAGACAAAAAAACAATTTATGAGGAGAAATCATAATAATTAAAAACCAAAAATTAAGAATTCATTGAATAACAACAAAAACTTGAGCAATTAAATATATTACAATCATTAATTCACTGCGTATAAAGGAAAATTGATTGTCAAACAAAATAGATATAAAACTTCTTCAAGCTGCCATTCTACATTTTGCATCGGCACAAAATCATTTTTGCAGTTCAACTGTCACTTCTTGAAACTCTCCAATTGTCTTTATTAAACCAATTCATAGATATGTGTCTTCTCCATTAAAAAATACATATATATTAAAATGTTAATATTAATTATTTTATATATTATTAATGAATATTGTATATTTATATGTGGGTTAGCGGGTGGGTGTAAGGAGCGGGTGACGGGTCGGGTGATGGGTTGGATGAGTGTTCATCCACACCCGATCCAACTCATCTTTCAACCCACCCGTCATCCATTTTTCATCCATACTTTTTCGGGTTTTCGTCCATATTTTCGGTTCGGGTTGACCGGGTATCCGTGGGTGCAGGTGATATTGCCAGCCCTATCTGCCCAGGGGGAACCATTGAAGGTGAGAGTTCTTTCTCAGATGCCCTAACTTGTGGTTTACAAGGTTAAGAAAGAATGGAGGGCAACTATCAAGCTTTAATTTCAGATGAATAATCAATTATCATTAAAATAAACAGAACTGAAATGAGTAAAACGGGACATCCGAATATGGTAAAACGAGACATTTAAAAGGGGACGGATGGAGTATTATTTTGTAGAGTTATTTTGTAGAGATATCAATGAGTAAGAATACTAGTTGTTACACAACTATTTCATTTATTGCTACATGCGGTACGAGCATAGGTGCAAATGTGCAATGAAACATTTCTTCTTAATAATTGTTTTCTTTTCATTTTTAGATTGTTAAAATTAATTTACTTATGTACTGTTAAGTATTTATTAGCTTAAAATTATGATTGTTTATGTTAGTGGTTTAATGATGAAAAATGGGAGTGATGAAATATATTTTTACTATGTATTTCTTAACACTTGGCTAATATATACTACGTAACATACAAGAATCGCACTAATATGATATTTTTGGTTCTTAAACCGGTTCTTCAAAAAATTCTAGAACAAAACCGATATTGAATTAACGGTTCCTAATTTCTATTCGAGAACTGAACCGATCTCACTCATACATTTTCTTCGCAAGATGATATATAAAAATAATTTTATTTATTTATTTAAGTTTATCTTGTGTACCAGACTGTCAGTATTGATGTAGAAACTCCATGTCAAGTTATATTTATTGTAAGACGATAAAAAATCAAATTTTAATTTACAAACCTTGCATATCGAAACCATCTCCGTACCCACCTCACAACCTGGTACTAGTCAAGAACTAGTTGATCAGTTTGTGATTCCGTGTAAATAATTACTCCCTCCGTAACTTTAAAATCTTCCCATTTTAAAAGTAGGTAGATTTAGAATAGTGAAAGATGATATGAATTATTGGGGGTAAGATGAGAAAATAGTGGAATAATGTGGTGAAATGTAGGATACATCCAAAAAAAGTAGTTGTGATAGTGTATTATTTTAAAAATTATTGAGTGTATGATGGGAAATTTAGAAATGAGAAGATTTTTGTGTTACGGACGAAAAAGGAAAGTGAGAAGATTTTTAAATTATGGAGAGAGTATTCAATTTCAATCTAATTCTTGTTCCAGATCTCTGTGTACTTGCAAGCAGTAAAAGACGAATGAAAAAGTTTACAAAAATCTTTGAAGAAGGGAAAAGACATTTGCCGAGAACTAATGTACTAAATTCGATCGTAATTGCCACACATTTTATGACTAGCGATTACTCGCGCAAGGCGCGAAAGTGTTTGCCTAATATTAAAATAATGTTGTGTTTTGTAAAAAATAGTGTTATATATGCAAAATTGTTACGATAGTTTAGTAAATAGTTATGAAATTTTACATATCATATACGACGTATATTTTAAAAATTGTCGGAATAATTATATTCCATCTCAACCAATTATTGTGTCAAAATATGTGATTATGTGGTTCATCCTTAATCAATATTTTAGAAATACATTAAGAAAATTAATGTAATTAAAATATCATCCAAATACATATAGTTGTGCACAAACCAGTTTTATGAGCAATAAATATTTCACATTCCCCAGTTGTGACAACGGAATTGAAACACATGTCCCACTTTATTAAAGAATGAAACACATGCCCCTATCTGAAAAAGACTCAAATGACAGATACATTTTCTGTACCCTTTCCCCATAAAAAAATTACATCTAAGTCACACATTTAGCTATGTAGCATCGACCTTTGATGAAAAATTTGTTTATGTTAGTTCACAGGTGAAATATTTCTTATAATAATCCATGATTGTAACAATACATTTTTTCCGTAAAATTTATATGAATGCACAAAATTAAATGAAATGTGAATATGTTAAGAAAAAACAATAATTGTGAAATCATAAAAGAATTTCGGACGGAGTATAGAGTGAATGTGAAGTTCCGTACATCATTACTGATACTCTCTATTATAGTCCATACAATAAAATAACAAGTTCATACTTGACATCCAAAAAAAGGAAAATAATTACAGAAGAAATAACATCAAATAAAATAAAATAAAATAAAATAAAATAAAGAGGTGTCATAGAAAGGATGGATAGGCATGGTCTTGTGTCCTTTATGAGCCAAGTATATTTTGTTATGGATGATCAGATCAGCTTAGAAGTTAACCGAAGTTAAATAAACTTTCACTATCGTAGGGTAAAAAGCAGTCATTTGAAAAATAAGGATTCAACCTTTTATTAGCAATGTACAACATCTTATGTACTAAGTGTATTGACACAATTCAGGGATACCAACCCTCATTTATAATTATATTGTTGTTAGATACTGAATACGGAGTATAACCTTAAGTTCAATTACTCTCTCCATCTTCGAGCCCACATATTATATCCCCATAATTTCACAGATTCAATAAATTTAATCAATACAGTGGGAATTTCATAAATTTAAACAAATTCAAATAATTCAGCCAATTTTGATATTATCAAATAGGCACACATTATTTTACATTTGATCGTATTATTCTACATAAATCACAAACAACACAAAATTGAAAAAGCACATCACTTGATATGGAAACTGTATTTCAAGTTTCAACATTCAAACCCCATTGAAATATGATTAAAAATGCTTAATAATTTTCAAAGAGCGTAGCTCAAAGGACACAAATATGTTACAGAACAAACAGCTACTCTCTGGTGATGTGTGCAACGAAAGATTCTATCTCCTTGCAAATGTCGCCTCCTTCCATCACCGCCTGCTTGATGGCGCCGCCGATTTCTTCCGCTCTTCTCCTCATCACATCTCCTTCTGAGGACCTCATTAATCTCTCAACAGCTTCTGCGATTTTCACCGAATCAACCACTTCTTGACAGGAACCGTCGTGCACTAGTACGCCGGTTTTCAGTAACTTCGTGATCAGCGCGGCGTTCCACGGCTGCTCCGAGTGCATCGGCCACGCCGCAAAGGGAACGCCCATTGAAATCCCTTCCATACACGAATTCCATCCGCAATGACTCATGAATCCGCCCGTTGAAGGGTGGGCGAGAATTTCCAGTTGCGGCGCCCAATCTCGAACCACCATTCCCATCCCTCCGATTCCCTCTTCGAACCCTTCCGGCAGGTCGGCGCTGCTTTCATCTCCGGCGGGAACGTCTACTCTATCCGCCTCTCTAACTACCCATATGAATTTCTGCTTGCTCTGCACCAACCCCATCGCGATCTGATGGATTTGGTCGGCCGGAAAAGTTGTGGAAGATCCAAACGCAATATAAATCACCGAATTCTTCTCCTGTTTATCGAGCCAGGCCAGACACCGGTTCCGATTGCTACCGGGATGTTCATCTGAGGGCAGGGTTATCGGGTTGAAAGGCCCGATAGCCCATATCTGCCCGGTTCCAGCTGACTTGTCTTTCGCCAGCAAGTCGAGGAAAGCTCCTTCGATCACCAGGCAGGTGTTGAACACCGTCCCGGAGTTGAATTTCAAGGCATCTGTCTGAATCTTGACAAATTCCAACACCTGTGGAGTCACGCAGCTTTCAAAATCTGGGGTTTCTTCTATCACCTGAGCTTCCGGGGGCAGGGGAGGCCTCTGCATCCTTTCCCAGTGGAAGAAGTAAATCGAGAGAGCCGAGATGGCCTCGAAGGCGTAAGATTCGGCGTTGGGTATACTGGGAACGTCTTGAACATTCCAAGCCATCATAGAATCGTAAATCACGACTACCCTCCGGGTTTTCTTGGAGAGATCCGATAGGAACTCGCGGAGGGGCTCGCGGAGGAGTAAGGCGGCGGTGAAGGCCGGGAGGATCTGGGAAGGGAATCTAGTTTTGGGATCAGGGGATGGGGATTCGAGAGAAGGTGTGGGGAATTCATGGAATTGGAGTTTGGGGACAGAGCTAGGATCCCAGCCCTGGACTCTGAGTTTGGCCTGGCGGATGTGGGTGGCGGCGCCGGTGTAATAGACGGGTATATCGTGGGAAGTGAGCAGGCGGGAGAGGTGGAGGAACTGGTTGAGATGGCCTTGTCCCGGCAAAGGAACCATCACTGCAACCGCGGCAGCTCTTGCGATGTCGTTTCGGGGGATGTGGGCGGCCATGTTTGGATGTGGACAACTCTCCCTCTTTCGTTTTTGTTTTGTAGGAGTAGTAGATCTTTTTCAACCTGGAAGACAGTCAAATGATTTTTTGAATATAACTGCGCAGTACATTTCGGAAAATCATTTGACTGCCTTCCCGATTTAATTTTTAGCTGAAATTTGATATGGGTAAATTAGACTTAATGAAGAAGATGCGAAAAAAATTTCATCAAAATATTCCACCGCCCCAATTGGCGACGGCCGGGCAGAACCTCTTATATAAGGGGCTAATTAAACACTTTAAGTTAGTTCATGTACCCATGTGACCCTTTAGCCTATATACTATCTTGTTTTACTTTTTTCCCTTAAGACTCGGTTATGAAATTTTTTAAGATAGCTAATACTTCCTTTTCCATATAGATGTTCCCCTTGCACTTGAGTCAAATTTGACCACCTGAGAGGCTGAGAAACTGAAAGTCTTCATTGAAATTCCTTTGTTTAGATAAGGAGTCAGCACCAACCATTAATCTTTACAAAAGAGGTTCAAAGACAAATATGTTCTTATTAAAAAAACACCATATGCGGGGAGAGTTTCATGAGAACGCTTTATCAAGTTTATCAATTTGAATTACATTTCATATCTTTGAAAGCTTTATCATGTTGGTTCCAATTTTATTTCATAATCGTACATATTTATACATATTCATAGTATAAATTTTTTATCCTACAATATTAAACTTCTTTCAACGATAATAGTTTTTTTATTTAAAAAACATATACAAGAATATACTGTATTTTCAAAAAAATCAAGTGAATATAATGTTTATATAGCTATAAGAATATAATTTTTTGACTAACCACAATGAACAAACATTTATTTAAAGTAAAATGATTAATTATTGATACATTGTACATATAAAATACTAGTATATATCTTACAAAGTATTCAAATATTTTCAAAATCCGTCCGGCCTAACGCCCCGGGTAAAACATTGTATAAAATAAATAAGTAACCACCTTTTTGTTTTGAATGTAAACAATCAGGTTTTATATTAAAACTATTATACGACGCGCGTTGCGCGGTGAGAATATGTCCAATGTGATTCTTGTAGATAGTATTAGAATTAAGGGTGGAATCGGGCTGGGCGGCCCGACCCGGTACTGTTTGGGCCCGGACCGGTACCCGGTCTTGGAGCCGGTTCGGGCCAACCGGAACCGCTCAGTTCCCGGTGCGGGCTCGGCCCCCCTAAAACGCGAACCGGCCCAGCCGGTTCAGGCCTTTTTTTTCTTTTTCTTTTTATTCTACCGGGTTGGGTTGGGTGTTTGGGGGGAGGGGTTTGGCGGGTGGGGGTGAAAGGGGGGGGGGGGGGTCAGGGGTTGATACAAAAGCAAAAGAAAAAAAAAAGCCCGAACCAGAACCGGCCCGGTTTGGGCCCGGCCCGGAACCGCCGGCTATTCGGGTCGGTTCCGGTTCCACCTTTCCCAAATAAAGGCCCGACCGGACCCAAGCTTGAACCGGAACCGGCCCGGGTCCACCCCTAATTAATGGGCATAAATGAGCCAACGACAGTTAAAGCTGGCATTCCATCACCCAATCCTAATGTAAGAGTCTTACAAAGATAAAAGTAATCAACAGAAAAATAAGCAGTTTGGTCATGAAAAATAAATTGCAAGCAAACAATAAAATTGAAAAGATGATTCCAAATCCTAGTCTCTCTTGCACTCCATAGCGGTGGTTCAGGAGGGGGACGATCCAGCAGTATTGTAGCTTCTTCCTCACCTTGCCTCTTATTCTTCAATTTTTCTACCAAGTCTTCCCTGTCGCCACCTAACACAAATGATCTCGAATCCAGATTTGTTCCAGCCTTCCAAGCATCCTCTTCCATCTGCTTAATCTCGCCAAAGCAAAAGTAGAAAAGTAGCCGCACAATTGATGGCGGAAGAAGAAGCCCTATACGCCTAAGCCCGCCTGTGGCGACCGCTCCTTGTTAAAAACGATAGCGGAGGAAAAGACCCTAGCGGTGGAAACCCACTCTAGAGAGAGAAAGAGTCGAAGAAAACTTGTTCTTACTCCGAAAGTGTTGATAGGTTGTACTTTATTATTAAGTAGATTTTGCCACTTTAATTTATTCATTTAGAAAACGTGTATTCAATTTGACTTTATTAATAACTAAACATATTTAATTATTTAGCATTCATAGTTATAGACTTGTAGTTTTAGGCTTTTAGCGCGTTCAAAGAAATTCAAACAATTCTGTCCTAATTCCTAAAGATTTTTATTCCTTTTAATTAGAAAATTACCAATGCTATTATCTTTAGGTAGCCCGTGCCTCCCAACTCCCAAACCCCATCCCAATTATCTGTGATCGGCTATGTCTAAAAAAGATTGATTATGAAGCATTTATTGATGATTTCACTTCACAATGTTCTACGAGAAATGTTTATAGACAATGTTTTTCTTGTGATACTTGTGTTGCTATTTTCGTCCAAATATGTAATTTAAATATTAATAAATTGAATTTCGTTTTTATTTTATAACCTTTATTAGATAGTTTTACTATAATTCTTACTTTTATAAGTATAATTTATTGTCTGTTTTGAAAATAAGCCCAAAATAATATATCGCCTATGGACACAAAAGTAGAAAGGACCCGCTCCGTTAATAAATACTCCGTACATGTGTATTTCTCAAAAACACTTAGGGAGTGTTTGCAATTGCTTCAACTTTTAAAAAGTGATTTTTTAAAGTGATTTTGGGAAAAGTGATTAATAGTAAGTGTTGAGTTTAATCCAACACGATATAGTAAATATATGTATAAATGTGTATGAACAAGCTCAGTTTTTACGTGGAAACCCGAAAGAGAGAAAAACCATGGGACTTTTTAGGCTAATGTCCAAGCCTTCTCTTTCTCATTAGACTTTCCTCACCATTACATAGTACAATTTGAGCTCCATTAATGGAGTCTTGCAAACTATTCTAGAGAGAAGGAATGAGTTTGGGAAGAAGAGAAAGATCCCTAAACATGTGGGAAAATCTCATATTTATAGGGGAAAGGGAATGGACCCTAATGGGCCGAAATGGGCCTAATGGCCGTAACAGGCTTGATAGGCTAAAACGGGCCTTACTGATCGAGTTCTGTACTACGTAAAGTCTTGGGCTCCCGAACAGTAACGGACCGGGATAATATATCTCAACAGTAAAAATTGGTAGTGTTTGAGAAAAAATTGATTTTGAAAAGTAAAAGTTGGTAGTATTTGGTAAAATAAGTACTTTTTGTGTAATATAAAAAGTGAAAAACAGTTTAAAGCACCCTTCTACCTGCTTCCAGCTTTTAGCTTTTAAGTGATTAATTTAAACAGAGGATGTCATTTGAAAACACTATTTTCAGCTTTTTTTAAGCTAAAAGTTGAAAAACGTTTTCTTTAAGCAACCACAAAAACACTCCTTTAGGCCCTCCAGTGCACGTGTCTAATGAGTGCACCTCAAAACCAATCAAATAGGCATCCAAATCTAACAGTATTAATTTTAATAGTTTAATGAAGTTTGAAATATTAATGAAAATAATGAAAACAACTAATCAACAGATTTTCGAGCAAAAAAAACTAACCAACAGATTCTTCTTAAAACGATCTCAATAAATACTTATAACCCATATACGTTTACATGAGATAACTGAGATAGATAAATTAATTAAAGATTTAATTTAATAAACAATAGGAATATACAAAAGCCAAAAATAGATAGAATTAGAGCCTCTTTGGTGATCGTGTTTTTGGACTTACCAGCCAATTTTTTTCAGCGAACACATAATTTTTGATTTCACGATCTGAATTGTTTAATAAAAAAAAGTAAGATCGAAATTACATTTCTGACTGTATTGGCTGAAATTACGAATAGAACTTCATCAATATCAATTCAACGAATTTGAGTATTAGGAAATGGTCTCTTAATATTGCTTTATTAATTCCTACGGAGTATTTTATTAGGATGTTTTCTTTTGGACTGTTTTCAGTCCCAGACCAGACCAGACCAGACTTAAACAGACCAGACCAGACCAGACCAGACCAGACTTAAACAGACCAGACCAAACCAGACCAGACTTAAACAGACCAGACCAGACCAGACTTCCGTAGTTATAAAATACACAGAGACCAGACGTTTACCAGACCAGACCAGACCAGTTCAGACCAGACCAGACCAGACCAGACCAGACCTGACCAGACTTAAACAGACCAGACCAGACCAGACCAGACTTAAACAGACCAGACCAGACCAGACCAGCAAATTTCAATCCAAAAGAAAACATCCTTAATAGAGGCGGTGAATGAACAACCCGATAGATATTAAAAAAACTGGATACGTAAAATCTTGACATATTCGGAAAGATTAGAAAATTATCAAAGCCTTCCAAAAAAGAATGCAAGGAAAAAAAACCAAAGGCTGATTAATTAATAAAAGAGAGAGAGAGAGTGCAAAATGCAGATACGATTTCAGATTTAATTTGGACCAAATTAAATTTTATGTATATTGAAGCTTGGGCTCCAGTCAATTATGGACAGTAATAAAAGGCGCTAGACGGTAAAATTTTCAGGCGGATTCAGAATTAGAAACTCGACTGAGAGAAAGAGCAATGGCGAACAGGCTTAGGAAGATGCGTTATGAGAGGAGGGCGGCTTCCATCATTAAGAAAACCAGAGAGCTCGAAACGCTCTGCAACATCAAACTCGCCGTCGTCATTGTGGGCCCCGACGGCAAGACGGAGACTTGGCCTCCCGACCCCGCCGCCGCCAAAGCCATATTCGACGCCGGAAAGGAGAACGTCGGCCGCGCGACGGCAGTTAGCGGCAAGAAACGGAATTCCCCTGAATATAAAAAAGAAGAAGAAGACAAAGATTATTCTCGCCCATGGAAGAAAGAATGCATAACCGCCGCCGGCGAAGATTCGGAAATCGCCGCTGCAACTGTGAGTGGAAGAGAAATCGAGTCAATGGGTGATCCTTATTTCGGGTCTGGGCTCGGAGAACTGCTTAAACCTTATATTCACTAGCTCTTGAATTTAATTACTATTGATAATTAGAATTAGCATGATTAATTTGATTAGCAACTCGATCAAAATTCAATGTAATCATATAATGATATATGCCTTGTTAGTTTTTAGTGATCTCTGATAATATTTCTATCACAGGATTAGAGTATAACTTTTACTGTATCGATATACTCCCCAGTCCTCACTCCTCAGTAATTCATTGTTCCAAAAAAGGTTGAATCGCCAACCCCAAGCGCCCCCCACGCCCCGACCCGACAAGACTTTTGGGAGGATGTAAGTCACGGTGACTCAGTCAGTAGAGTGGCAGTAGGCCCATGCACCCGTGCGCACCAGAGGCCCAGCCTTATTTCAGGTTCTGTGACCTCCACTCGGCCGCTGCGGGGATTCGAACCTTGGTCATTGTTCCAAATTTCCCACCACTCGACCAACTGAGCTACCCGTGCGGGTACTCCTCAGTAATTCAGTATATATATGTGCATGCATGTGCAGATTTTGAACAAGTTAGACCAGGCAAGCATGTCACTTTAATCATAATTAGGGTACTCTTTATGCATTGAAAACTAAACAGTGTCCTAAATAAGTTAGCTTAATTATTAGCTTCTACTATGTACTCGTATTTCTTTATTATTTCCTATCTTGATGGATTCTTCTGACTTAATTTTAATTTTCCATTGACCAAACCTATATACGAAGTATTTGGTTTCAAATATTTTCTAACATTTATCATTCTTACACTATTCAATTTGTTGGTCTGGTTGATCTGTTTAAGTCTGGTCTGATATACTCTGGGAGTGAAAGTGAAAACAGTCCAAGTAAAAACATCACTTACACAAATGTGGTTCTTAATTAACTAAGGAATTATAGGTGAAATTTTAATCTTTATTTTTATTAAATTTCAACTTCTATATGTTTTTTTGAACCGTGTGTGATTTATTCAACATAGACATATAAGTAGGATTGAAGGTTCAAGTAAAACATGCCATAATAAGATATGAGATGGCTCATAAATTTATATTTTATTGTTTGAAGGATTGGCTGGGAGGAGTAATGGAATAGACTATAGAGTACGCTTGATGGTGCAACACGGATAGGATTATTATGGGAAAAACGAATTAAAAGAAAAATGGAATAGGAAAAGTGAAAAAATTATAAAAAGAAAGAAGAAAAACAAAAAAATGAAAAAGGAAACACACAAATTGAGTATGATCTAAATTAGGTCTGGGTCCGAAAAACCGAAAATCTAATCAAATCATACCGAATCGTAGTCAAATAAAATCGAACCGCTAACAAACCGAAACCGAATGTAAAGAACCGAACCGTACTTGTTTGGTTCGCTTTTGGTTTTTAGTCTTCAAAACCGAACCGACCGAACAAACCGAACTAATTAAAATATAAAATTCATTTGTCAATTGTTAAGTGTTAAGACCCGGGGTTCCATCCTAAAAGGTCAACTTGATAGGAGGAGTAGCTCGTGTGTTAATATAGCACTTTGTTCATCCAAACGTTTCCGGTGTGGGACATTTAACCTTAAACATTAATCCTAACTAATCCTAATATCATTAATAGTCTTTAGTTTTCTTGTGCTAGAGAAATAATGTTTGTGTTATGTTTAGTTTATAAACTCATTCACACATTCATTGCCTGTAATAATGTAGCTATACTGAATGATGATAATATGTTTTTACTAGTTATTAGTATTAATTAACTTTTATTTTTATTTAACTTAAAAAATTCATATTGATGAAATAATAAATATTCATCTCAACAATATCACATAGAACGTATATACTCATGAACTTATTCTGAACTAGTCACAAACAATGTAAGTTAATAATATATATACTTTTATCTCTCTCGCATACTCATATAATTCAAGACATATTTATTTATTTTTATTTTTATTTTATTTGTTGTAGTGTGTTTACATTCTTTATGTAATATGTTTGATCCCTCAAAATATTATATCAATTTTAAATCAAATGATTATTTTTGGGTAAAAAATCGAAATTGAATCGAAACAAATCAAACCGTTGTTCGAAATTTTGGAGTGTGAAATCGAACCGAAACCGAACCGAACTTTTTATTTTGGTTTTATATTTGATTTTAAGTCAAACCTGTGCCCTCCCCTTTCGGTCTAATAGAACTGAACAACTCTCTCCCTAATTTCTTTCCTCTTTTTGTGGCCTACTCCAACTGCAAACCCTCTTCATTCATACACACTCGTGCTCCTCAGCAATATGCAGCAGCCGAGCTCCAAGGCTTTCCTTTCCTTCTCCTTCCCTCGGTTCCCGGCAGTAAGACCGTCGATTCCTTCCTTGTCCTCCAACCTGCGACCAAATTGGTTCTCCTTTCAATCGGTAACTCTAATTTTAACTCCTTTCAATCTTATAAATTAATTCATTTAAATGAAGAATTTCAGTAGGATTTAATTAAGATTAGAATGTGTATTGATTTCTGAGTTTTATGGTTATTAGAAAAGGAAATTGAGGAAGAACCAGCTTGAGGTGAATTGGAGTCGCTGATTTGGATTCCGGTAAGCTTTTATATCCTCCAAAATTATTTGATACACACACACCGAAATATATTCCTGTTCGCCCGGCCTGACAGCCGGACAGGAGTAACGTCCGGCCAGGAGTGCTGTCCTTCTACCTCATTTTGAGGTGGTTCTGGTGGTATTTTTTGCTGCAATTTTGTGAGCATGTTTCTCATGAATCATGAATGGTAGATTATGTATATCAAATTTTAGCTAAAAGTTTAATCGGGAAGACAGACAAATAAATTTGTGAAAGTATCTGCGATTTATATGTATATTTTGCCGCAATCATCTTCAAAATATTCATCGGCTGCCTTTGCGATTGAATTTTTAAGTGAAATTTGGTGCACACAATTTACGCTTCATTGTAATATGTTCACAAAATTTCAGCAAAAATATCACCGGGAACTACTTCAAAATGAGGTGGCCGGACATCATTCCTTTCTGGCCTGAACGGACAAGAAGACTACTCATATATAAGAACAACTCTTATAGTAAAAAATGAGAACAAATCTTGATCACTCACTTTAATTAATCAAAAAATGAAATATGTTTCGAACACCTAATTTTGGTGTGGACAAGCATAGGAAATGATTTTCATACCTAACGGATTTAGTTTATGATGATTTATTTAAGGGAAAACATGTAATTGTTAAAATGAGCATTTATTGTGAATGATGAACGGCTAGCATTTCTTCTCATTCTCACAATAAGATGTGTTCTCATTTGAACCACACACATACACACATGTGTATATATATAAGCAAGTTGTGTGTATAATCATAATGTTTGTATTGGTATCTATAAGACTCGTGCTCATACCGATCCTTCCATCCAAAAAGATAATAAGACATTATTTCATATGCACTTGTGGACATATCTCGTGTATCTTGTGTAATAGGAATAGATAAATAAATTTGGTCTAGTTTCTTTTGATCTCCCTTACTGTAATCATGAGCACGTGTATGATTGATGACTATTCATTTGTTCCGGTAAACAAGAAGACTGAAACTGCCCAATTCAATTAAAAAAAGCAAGGAAAGAATATTATAAGACAAGTTAATCTAAGAGTGAATTCCCTAAATAGGACTAAAAAGTGGAAAAATTGCACAAATAGGACTACATTTTTAAATTCCCTTAATAGGACTATTTATGTGTGTTTGGACAAATATACCCTTGTAACTTGTGAAATGTTTTAATTAATAATAAAATCATAAAAAAATTAATAAAAATCGAAAAAAATACTAAAAATCGTAAAAAAAATAATAGAAAATTAATAAAAAATATTTTTTAAAAAAAATAAAAAAAAAATATTTTTTTAAAAAAAAATAAAAAATAAATAAAAAAAATCATAAAATTAAAAAAAAAACATTACCACACCTGCCACCGCCAACACCACCATCTCTCATCACCGGACAAAAATATGCCAACATTTTAAATAATGCCATAATGATGGCATAATCAATGAAAATGTTGGCATATTGAAGAGTAATTATGCCATCTTTTTGGCATTTTCAGAAAAATATGGCATTTTTTTTACCAAAAGTGGAAGAAATTTCACCAATCGAATGTGGTGGTGCTGGGAGGCGGCGGGAGGCGGTGAGAAAGGTATCCATAATTTTTTTCATTTTTTATGGGTTTTTACTATTTTTTATTATTTTTTTTAAAAAATTAAAAAAATAAAAAATTAAATTTTTTATTTTATAAATGTTTTATAATTTTTTTTTAATTTTTTTACGTTTTTTAAATATTTGTTTACGTTTTTTGTGATTTTATTATGAATTAAAGCATTTCATTATGAATTAATACTCTTAGGGGTATTTAGGGTAGAAAATCAATGTTTAGTCCTAATTAGGGAATTTTAAAAATAGTAGTCCTATTTGTGCTTTTTAGGAACTTTTTAGTCCTATTTAGGACAATTTCCGTTAATCTAATATTCCTTTATTTGGAGTCAATGGGAGATATGAAAGTGTTTTTTTTTAAAGAAATGTCTTAGCCAGCCCCATTATTGCAATGGTTGGATTAATATTTGGTAATGTGTGAACATTTCTATATACGCACAATATGAATCCTTATGTAAAATGGTTTTGGAGGCTGGTTCATTTGTACAAAGTATTTATTTGTAAAAAGTAACATGGTTTTTCAGATTAAGTAAATCTGTATTTTCCTGCTGACAAAATATGTATGTGTGTATGTGTTTGAGGCTGCTATACATATGATTAGTTAATTTGGTCTGCGTTAACTACCTTATATTTGAAGCTGAGATCTGGTTAACTACCTTGTATTTGAAGCTGAGATCTGGTTAACTACCTTATATTTGAGAGTGAGAATTTCAAAAATGTTAATTTAGATAAATTAAGAAGAGAAAAAATCTACATCAACTTGGTCTCTGCGGAGAGAGTTACGGTGCGTTTCAAAATTAGTATTACCTCCGTCCCACTCAAAGGTTCCCGTCCACTATTTTCCGGTCAACGCAAAGTCTTCATATATCCAACTTTTATCAAATTTGAGTTTTTCTCTTGTGACTTTATAAAACTTTTAATGTAGTTTCCGAATATGTAAATTTTATTCACTAAAAAGAATCTAACTACAGACAGGGATCAATTAACTTTATGACCGTTCAAGCATCGTAAATCGCGTGAGAACCTTTCTACGGGACTGAGGGATTAATTGTTATTCCTAATTAGTATGGGTGGGACATTTTAGTAATACAATAAAAGATTTATTTGAAGTTAAATAAGTAAAAATGTTTAGTACTACGTAAGATTTTGTTCCATCATTTTTTCCGCAATAATATTAATAAAAAAATTAAAAAATAATCCAGGCCGGATTATAAAAAACTAGAGTATATAATCCAAAACAGGTAAGTGATTGTTAAGCGGATAAAACAAATCAAAACGAAAAATTTATATATATATATATATATAACAAAGATATTTGTTATATCTATCTCAGAAATCCTATTCTTGTGCTCTGGAAGTTTGAATATACTCGGTCTTTAGCTAATTCTTCAACAAAATCGCTGAAAATAGAGAACCCCAATAATTTTTATTTCATTTCAAAACTTGTTAACCAACTCATTTTGCCAGATTCATTTACATCACATGCATGTCTCCTGAAAGATCAAACTTGAATTTTCTTTTGTGGCTAGCTAGACACACAGAATTGAAAACTCCATGAGAGAAGTCATAGAAGCTGTGGAGAGAGCTTTACCTCAACAGAAGGGACTCATCCCTTGCAAATCCCTTTTTGAGATGTTACGTACTGCAATATCATTCAATGCTAATCAAGAATGCAGAGATGGACTGGAGTTGAGAATTGGGAAACAGCTTGACCAGTCAACGGTCAAGGAACTACTTCTCATACCTCATGTCCCGGAAGAAAAGTATGACACTGAGTGTTTGAAGAGGATGTTGAAGATCTATTATGACAACTACACGAGCTCGGAGTTCTCGGGTTTCATTAAAGTGGCAAACCTCATGGAGGAATTCTTGTGTGAGGTTGCGAGTGACATAGACCTAAAAGTGGACACATTTGCATCACTTGCGGACTTATCTGCTTCCGTATCGAGTGAAGCCAAACGGAGCTCTGATGGGATCTACCGAGCCATAGATATCTACCTGGAGAAGCACATATATTTGACAGAAAAGGAGAGGGAGAAGCTGTGTGATGTTCTGGATTGCAGCAGGATGTCAGTTGAAGCGTGCCAGCATGCTGCACAAAATAACCGCTTACCCACTAGGTTGCTGGTGCAGATTTTGTTTGCAGGGCACATGAGTTTGAAGGACACAATGAGGAAGGAGATGATTCATTCTTGTGGAGCTTTGATGGCTGAGAAGAAAGATGAAGGAGGGGTGGAGTTGAGTGCAAGTGAAGATGATGATCATGAGGTAAAGGCAGAGATTGAAAAGATAGGGAACAAGGTGTTGGAGTTGGAGAAAGAATGCAATAATGTGAGGATGCAAATTCAAAAAGGGAGGGAGAGGAATGAGAAGAAGAAGATGAGTGTGTGGAAAGAAATGAAGAGGAAGTTTGGGTGCATGACCACCATGCATGACTGCAGCAACAGCCATGTGCAGAAGAAGAAAAGGTGCATCCAAGATAGTATGTAGCAGCCCACATATGATCAGACTCCAGCTACCCTTTTCGAATAAATTTAGATGATCTGTCATGTTATTTCGCTGTGGTAAATTGCTTTTTTAGTCCCTTAACTATGTCACTTTTGCCATTTTAGATCCTCATTAACTTTTTTGTATTCTTTAATAAGGGATTTAATCCCTATAATGAATTCAATCTTTGTTTGCAACTGCATATACAATGAGAGACTAAACAGTGAACCCTTTTGGCTCAATTATAACTGAACTACTATCATTACTTTCAGACTTGTAAAACATTCAACTGATTATATAAATGTCAAATCAATATTCCTAGTGCAAAAGACAGTAAAAAAAAAAATCCTAGTGCAAAAGCAATCTCATACAAATAAACATTAGATTGCGATATAGTCTTCACGATTTCCACCACTAAAAGGAATCTGATTTTTCTACAAATAAAGAAAAACAAATCTCTATTTTTCTCAAAAGAGTTTACTTAGGCAATGGATTAATCTCCATTTTTCTCAAAAGAAGAAACATCCTCTGATCAAGCTTATATTTATGCATGTTCCTGGGCACACTGCACAGCTTTAGGTGAAGTCCTCCAAAAGAAATAAACACCATCCAGATTCCAGATTAGTGGGCTTGCAAAACCACACCGTTATACATTTAAGAGTTGCACTTCATGAACTCAATATTTATTAGTTAAGTATATTAGCTCGGTAATATATTACTCCGTCCCCCAATAGAGGGACGGAGGGAGTAATATAAAGTAACTCGTATTACTGCTTTATGCAAACCACATTCACTCTCAGTTTAATGTTGGGGAAACTATCAAATCCGCTCTGGAAATGTATGACAAAATCAATTAAGCCCTCGAATTAAATAAATAAAACTTTACAAAAACTTTCAAATGTACTCCGTATAATTTAGTAGGTAACATTTTCTCGGTTACCATAATGAAAGCTTTTATCCTACTTTTTCTCTTTCTATTTTCTACTTTTCACTTTTTCTTTTTATGATTCTTATTTTTTATACTTTTTCTTCTCCACTTTCCTACTTTCTCTCTTCTATTTCATTCGTTTTCTTAGCTTCTTTAATTAACACCCTATTACATTTCCCAATCTATGTAAGAATCTTAGTGTAACATCCTCAAACTTGTTTTATTTTTGAAACTAGCTTTCAAGCCCGTGCAGTACATAATTTAGCCAATTGTAAATTTGATATTTTCGGAATCATATACGTAGTATAATTTAATGTGACGCAAAATCAAAATAAACTCAGTCTAATATAAAATTATTTGAATTGTCTAACTCTACCGTAATGAATTAAATCTAACAGATCGGGCTAAACTGACGGAATCTCCCACATTATGAAAAAGTAAAATAAAATATACTACATATTACGTATATAACCAATAAAACAAATTAAAATTTATATGGAAAATATTTAAAATGGACTTGTACATAAGCATCTCAACTAACCATAATTGTTATAAACCCACTTTTAAAGAATTCACACAAAAGTTTCTTTATTAATTTCACATTATATTACTTCATTAATCATCTCAAAATACTATTTTTTTTAAATATTTCTCATTCAACATGGTATGAAATAAGTATTTGTAAATTTATTAGTAGGATCATACATTTTACTCATTATTTCGTCACATTGAGAATGTAAGAAAATGGATCATTTTTACAATTTACTAATTTATTTCGTCACATTGGAAACGTCATTAATAAGATGTACTCACTTTGTCCCCCTTATATTGTCTCGTTTTACCTTTTTGGGAAATTCCACTAAAATTGCTTCATACCATATTTGGTAAAGTTTGTGTGGCTCTAAATCATTTTTATTTATTCTTACTTTATCAATTAATATCAACCACACAAACCCACTTTTTTTTTAAAAATCGTGTCACCCTCTTCTGTCCTAATATAAGAGGAACGGAGGTAGTATCAAATTAGATTGACATTTTCAGTTCTAATTTGGTATGAAGTAATACAGTGTGGAAGATGTCTATTATATGTATAATAATAATAATAATAATAATAATAATAATAATAATAATAATAATAATAATAATAATAATAATAATAATAATAATTTTTGTTATTATGATTGATGTTTGATCTGATCTTGTCTGAGACTAAAATCAGTTGAATTAAAAACATTCTAAATATATGAAGATTTCTTAATTTGGATTAGGAATCTATTACAGAAGTGAGGGAATATTTAAATTATAGTTGTAAAAATAGAGAAAGAAGTAAACATATATGAATTTCCATCCTAATAAAGGTAAAGTACTTGATCAGAAGTTTTACATGTTATCAATTTCATTTTTAAGTTAAAAAATATTGTGGTTATAATTTCCAATAACTAAGAAAGTATTAACACAATTGCAAATCTATCTAAGGCTTATAATTTTAGTCATTATCGCATTGAGTTTAGAAAACATACTAAAAAAGAGATTGAGTTTAGAAAAATAAAATATCACATTTAGGAAATGGAACACTATTATTACCTTTTTATTTTTATAAAATAATTTTGAAGAACAAAATTAATAGGAATTTGGATTATTTATCTGTTAGGTGGGGAAAACACGGATAATTCATTTCTCAATAGAATGTAATAAGAAATAAAAGGTATAAAAAATAATTAAATAATTTATATAAAATATAGTTTATGTGTAGGGATGGCTATAAAAGTTAAGTAGTATCAAATAATTATTACAAAAATATTACGTAGTTTTTTACAATAATTATTACGTAACTTTTATTATATAATTTGATACATAATATTTTGTCCAAATATAATGTATTTGATAAATATTTTGATACTTACTGCAAAATATATTTTGATACTTACTAATAGGTTATGTATTATATGCAATATTTTGATAAAAGGTTATGTATTATTTGCAATATTTTGATACTTACTGCAAAATAATGCATAACCTTTTATATATATTTTGATACTACAAAAATAATTAAATAATTTATATAATTATTTGTCTATAAAAGTTACGTAGTATCAAAATATTTCAAATAATATGGAGTAAGTAAAGGTTCTCAAAAAGTTACGTAGTATCAAATAAGGTGGATTATAAAAGATTGTACAATATTTTGTTTCTATATCAATATGCAATAAAAAATAGAATGTAGTAAAAAATAAAAAGTAATTGAATAATTATTATATATGATGACATGGCAGGATTATGTGGCACACTGTATGCTCTTAAAAAATTCCTCTTTTATATATATATATTGATTTCTGAGAGTAAAATATAAGGTTTTGTCTCAAAAAATAGGTCTTACTATTTAAGTTTGTAGTTGACGTAAAAAAAATTGTAGTTGACATAAATATTAAAAGTACAAAAAACACACAGTTAAAATTGATTAATACGTAATATAAAATAAAAAACTAGAGAGAGTAAAGTGGAAAGCGAGTGCGGCGAATTGATCTCTTGTCATTGTTTTGTAATATTTTTATCTTTCTTATGTTTTTTAATCATTTTATCCTTTTTTTTATTACATACATACATACATACATACATACATACATACATACATACATACATACATACATACATACATACATACATACATACATACATACATACATACATACATACATACATATATATATATATATATATATATATATATATATATATATATATATATATATATATATATATATATTCTTGAAAACTCCTTTTTATCTCATCATTTTATCTCTATCTTATATTTATGTGTATCTTTATTGTATTTTTTAATCTTTTTTATTATATCACATCGTTTTATCTTTCTTAACTTTTTTTATCTGATATCATGTATTAATTCATGTTAGTCAACCTCAAAATATTTTGGGACTAAGGTTAGAAAGTTGTTGTTTGTTGTATAACATCAAAAATTAAATATTGTAACAACATCTAGACTCTAGTTTAGAAATTGAACAAAAAAAACCATAATGTATACAAATATGACCCGTGAAGAAGCCAGAAATCTATGATTAAGAGGTCAGGCTTTGAAATTTTCACATAGTGGAGGTGAAAGTTTAAAATATCAATATACTTGTTATTGATTGAAAATATTTATACATTAGGAGTTTAAATTATTGATTGTTATCAATATAGAATTGGGTTCAACTGAGAAAATGATCTTAGGAGAGAAATGAGAATGAATCTAGGCCGTTAGATTGTAATCTGTGAAATTGGATGTGCATTTAGTCAAACTGAAATGTGCATTAGGTGAAATCGAAATGTGCACTAGGTGAAATTGAAATGTGCAGAATTAAACTATGATGTGGTAACATTTTTTCAGCCTTTTATTCTGCACATTTTAATTTCATGTAATGCACATTTGAGTTTTATTTTTCATTCTGCATATTTCAATTTCACTTAATGCACATTTCAGTTTTACCAAATGCATAGTATAATTTCACAGATTACAATCCAACAGTCCAGATTCATTCTCATTTCTCTCCTGGGAGTCCTTTCTCACCGGAACCACTCCCCATATATATATATATATATATATATATATATATATATATATATATATATATATATATATGGGGAGTGAATCTTGTGCATTCATTTCCACATCTAATGGCTCAAAATGAGCCAAAAATGCACAAATTGAGCTCTTCCCATGCAAAGTGAGAATGAATGTTTTGCATTCATTTCCACATCTAATTGAGCACATCAAATACAAAGAGCTCTTCACATGCAAAGTGAGAAAGAATCTTGTGCATTCATTTCCACATCTAATGGCTCAAAATGAGCCAAAAATACACAAATTTCAACCAAAAACGCGGTGGCGTTTTCGTAAATATGTTGCACTTTTTTCGCCACCATGAAAAAGTGCAACACAAACACGAAAAAGTGCAAGCGAAACAAGAAAATGTGCATATCTTCGCACTTTGCACGGGAAGAGGTCTTTTTATTTGAACTCTTCCCTATATATATAATGGTTTTTCTTGGGGTCGAGCCCCTTCCAAGTTGGATCTCTCCACCCCTGAACAACGATATTCCATTCTTTGATACTCCCTCATTCCACTAGTCTTTGTCAACGTTTTCTTTTTAGTTGTCTCAATAAACTTTGTCACTTTCTAATTAAAGCAGTTAATATGTGGTTCTGCTCATTTCTCTCTCATCTGTACAAACTTCAACCATACAATTTTTACTTTTCTCATTGCACACTTAAAGTTCAGTGAGATGGAGGTAATATTTGCTACACTATTGAGATGTATTTAGATGTAT